TTTCTTCTTTGATCAATGTCTGAAACAACATATCCAGAGTACAAGAGGTGAGAACATAAAATGGGGAATTGTCCGCATGTAATGTGGCACCTTGAAATTTCTTGGTATTACTCAGCACGTGGGGGTGATAGTACTAATTATTACTAATGGTGCACAAGTGCTGTGCCAATAGGAAATGAGCTGAATTTTTTTTTTAATTCTTTAATTCTACACATTTAGGCAATGTTCCACCATGTCAGATAACTGTTAGTGTTGTAGCTACGGGTATGCATGCACATGTAATGCTAGCTAGTCAGTGTTAATGAAAATATCCAGTCTGGTCAGCTTAGTGATCATCTGCCGTTTATAATTGTATAGACTTAGTCATACCAAATTCTGTCCATGAGGCAGTTCTTTAGCAACCTGAAGCAGAGTAATGCTTTCATAAAGTTGTAGAACAGGTACACTGAGGACACCTTTTGCTTTGCATCCCTAAAGCTGTGTTATGGATGGATATATGAAATCAGCTAATAATCGGTTGCTTAAGCCTTTTATTCTGATGTAACTACAACAGATAGCACCCATGAGTGTGAATATTTTAACCATTGGTTATTGTGAAAATTCAACAATCATACGAAGTCAGGTCATTATTATCATTAACTTGTACACGATACTCCAGCTGGGTCCTAAACAGTGATTTATATATGTTTAACACAACATCCTTTTGTAAAGAGACATAGGAGCTCAAAAAGCATTCCACGTGCATTTTTAGCACCTCCTCTGCTTATGCCACTACTTGCAAAGATTTGTGTATCCACACCTCCAGGTGTTTCTGTTCCTGCACCTCTTCAAAAATTGCCGTATAATCTCTTGCCATGAAAAAAGCATATTTCCATACTTAGCTGCATTCTTTTTCATTTGCAGTGTGCCTTCTGTTTCAATTTGAAATTATGCCTTTTATACTCAATATAATATGTGGACAGTAGTGATCCAAATTACAGATCTGGGGCACCACAGCATACTTCCCTCTAGTTTGACAAACCACTTCTGCGAATTCCTTACTCAATTTTGGATCCACAATACTACTGCACCTTTAACCCTATGTTCTTAGTTTTACTAATATTGTGCTTTATCAAACTCCTTTTGAAAGTCCATGTAGATATCAACCACACTACTTCCTTCAACGTTGTTGTTACATTAACAAATGTCAATCAGTCAACAAGATTTGAGTTCAGCAAATCCATACATGAAAATAGGTGGCAGTGCATGATGTGATGAAGACATAGGGAATCTGCAAAAGGGTGTAGATAGGTTGGGTGAGAGAGCAAAACTTGGCAGGCAGTGTTTATGTATGAAAGTGTGATGGCATCAGTTTGGTAGGAAGAATCAGAAGGTGGATTATTATTTAAATAGTGGTAGACTTGGAAAAAATGTGGCACAAAGGGATCTGGGCGTTGCTGTGCATGATGCACAAAATATTATCATACCAGTGGAACAACTAATTAAGGAGGCAAATTAAATTTTGGTCTTTATTGCTGAGGGTTGGAGTTTAAAAATAGGGAAGTCTTGTTACAACTGTATGGGATGTTTGCTGAGGCTACACCTGGAGTACTGTGTACAGTTTTAGTCTCCGTATTTAAGATAGGTATTGAAAACATTTCAAAAAAGATTCATTAGGCAGATTCCTGGAATGATGCACTAAACAGGTTTGGCCTTAATTTGTTAGAGTTTAGAAGAATGAGGGGTGATCTTATTGAAACCTTAAAGATTCTGACCGGACCTGACAAGGTAAATTTCGAGATAGTAGGAACTGCCGATGCTGGAGAATCTGAGATAACAAGGTGTAGAGCTGGATGAACACAGCAGGCCAAGCAGCATCACAGGAGCAGGAAAGCTGATGTTTCGGGTCGAGACCCTTCTTCAGAAATGGGGGAGGGGAAGGGGATTCTGAAATAAATAGGGAGAGGAGGGGAGGCGGATAGAAGATGGATGAAGGAGAAGATAGGTGGAGAGGAGACAGACAGGTCAAAGAGGCGGGGTTGGAGCCAGTAAAGGTGAATGTAGGTGGGGAGTTAGGGAGGGGATAGGTTGGTCCAGGGAGGATGGACAGGTCAAGGAGGCGGGATGAGGTTAGTGGGTAGGAGATGGGGG